TATCCCACAACACTCATCTTTCCACAAACCATTTTCCCCCACAAACTCACATCATCCATGGCCCCTGCATCATAAACCAGCCCCCATACCCCCGGGCAACCATTCATCCCACAACCTCCACATTCCACAAAACCCTTTTTATCCCACAACCTCTCATCCACAGAAACCCTTCATCCACAAAACATCACCCATGGCAACCATGTTATCCACAACAACACATTCCACGCAACCCAGTTATCTCACAACACTCACATCATTCCACAGCAACCATTTTAAACCCATAACACACATCTTCCACAACAACCATGTACCCCCACAACACTCATCTTTCCCCACAAAACCCATGTCACCCACAACATCACATCATCCCATGGCAACCATGTTATCCCCAATGCTCACACTTTCCAAGAACTGTCCCCCACAATGCTCACATTCCCACACCAACCAGTTATCCCACAACCTCACACATTCACAGCAACCGTTATCTCACAACACTCACATCATTCCACAAAAACCAGTTACCCCCAAAACACTCACATCTTTCCCACAGCAACCTTTTAAACTCAAAACATCACATCTTTCCCAACAGTAACCATGTTTCCCACAACATACACATTCCACAGCAATCACATCACAAAAGTCCAACATTACAAAAACCCCTCCACAACACAGTCATAAATCCTTATCAAGAAATCTCAGAAAAGCATGGCCCTAGGGGGGTTTTCCAAAGGGGCAAAAAACACTTGAAACTGTCACAGAAATCACGGGAAAACCCCACAATGCCCACAATACCCACTACAAACCCATATCCCACAGTACCCACTACAACACTCACATCATCCAACAACACCCACAAAAATATACAAAGACCTACCTCCTGCTCCTGTCATCCACATTAAGAATTTGGTAAATCGACCGCAATTGCCCTTAAAAATTTTTCGTCATTTTTATTACTGAACTCCATCTTTGGTCTTACTTTCCAGAGTTTACATGCACATACACATTAATCAAGGTCTAGGGTCGGTTGAGTTCACGCACTGCCAACATCACTAACACGAAAAATATAACACTTATGTATTATCAACTGTCAAATGCCACTGGGTAAGAATATGTGAGAATCCCCTTTAAATTTCCCACAAAAAAACCTGATACAATTTTTCAATGTGTATCATTACGCAGCATATGTCTACTCCCACCACCACGTAATTACCACTGCTGATGTACCCCCACTATATCACCCACACTTTTGACACTTATTCCCCACACTAACTGCCATACTTTTTCAAACGTCTACAGTTTCCCAATATTTCCCAGAGTAATGTATCACCACTATATTTACCAAAAGTATTTTATCCCACATATTCACCACAGTACGTGTATCCCACTATATTCACCACAGTATGTATCACTACCATATTCGCCACAGTAGTGTATCACCACTAATTCATCACACTACATTCACCACATAATCAACCAGTAAAGTATTACCACTATATTCACCACAGTACATGTATCGGAGTTTTCCTGGGGAAGGTTCGGGGTCAACCCCCCATGGCTCATCTGAGACCGGTTCACCTAATTCATCAGGCATATCACTTATTTACCCGGCACATCACTATATTTACCACACTACAAAACACCCTATGATCAACACAGTAAATGTACTAAACTATAAAAAAAAAAAATTTTAAATTCAACCCTCCCCATGTATATAACCCTAAGTACACACACCACAGAAAAAAGTATTTTTACATACATATTACCGCAAAACAATAATTACATTCTCACCACCACAAAACAATTCACCCTTAAAGGAAGCTTGAGAAAGTTTTGATGGTTTGACTCTGGACTGCTACTAAAAAGTGAGATAAGTTACCAAGAAAAATTTGACTGCATTGGTGCTTCAACCATGTGGTATTTTATACGTCCTTGCCCCATAGGGGGGCAGTGCTGATGGGGCAGGATGGCACTATGTAGGTACGTGGTGGGAATGGCACATGTTGGGGACTTTTAAGTGTATGGGGGTCACACACCCTTTTAAACACCCGTGGGACCCCCCATTTCAGCACCTTTCAATCCCAATCAATCAGCATTGTGACTACCCCTGGTAACTGCTAAACCACAGTTTTTCCACCAAACCCAGTAGTACCACTACTAACACTACCCCCACTGACATGACCACACCCCCTCGTTGCCACAAACAACACAACACCCCAGTTTGGAACTTGACATCCCCACCTGGCTTGACAAAGTGTCACCACAGTCACAGCAGAGGGAATATTAATTTTCAAAGACACTTCACAGGGCCCGAGAACCCAGTTCAGCATGACGCAGAGCAATCAAAAATCACTGATGTGCAGTCACTTTCACCACCTCAACATTTACTACCTTTTTATTAAATTTTAAGAGAACCTTAACCATCCAGTGGTTATACAGTGCCTTTGGGGGAAAGAATGGAATCATATTAGATTGAGGAAAGGGGGAAAGGGAAACTCAGATTCCTTCATCAAGAGCCCGTAAACCATCAAGGCTCCCCCCCTCTCTCCTTTATGAAAACTTCACTACAGTACTAAAAAATTCTTCCTTACCTACCCCACACTCAATATGCAGCTTCCCAAGGGACATTTTCTACCCACATACTATGACTTTTTTCTGCCTTGACCAAATACATACCCAAAAACACACATTACCTGTACATTTTCCAACTAATACTGGAACATTTCCACCCCATATCAAGACATTTCCACCTTATACTGGGGCATTTTTACTTCCCATGCCAAAATATCTGCACACTAAACGAAGGCTCTTTTCCACCCCATACCAGGAATCATTTCCACAGAAGGTCAATCAGGCACACATCATAACTTGAATCCTAGTGGACACAATTTTATGACCATCTGAACTATATAATGTCCCTAACAATACTGGCTATCATCAATAATTCTTGTACAATATATGTAAGAGTTTTCAACAGGTTCTGATAACACTCAAGTTATCAGAAATTATCATCCAGGTGCACAGTAATAATGGACTATTAACATGTTATCAAATGATAACTTATCAGCAATTTTCACTAGAGATTTTTGTTTTTTAAACTACCTTAGTATTTAAAGCTTCCATTAGGTTTCTCCAGTGAAGAGCAAGTGCAAGAGTAATTTTAAATTATTTCTAACTGTACAAGTGAAGATATATTCTCATGGTATTTCAACTTCAATTTAATTTTTAATACCTTCAGTAGTTTTAGCACACACACCTCCTGCAAACCCATTCTGTTAATTGGCTGCTATATTTCTGAAGAAATGCTTGTCCTTTCCATTTTCTTTTTCCTAATTTGAAATTGTGATCTCTCCTTTTAAATAAAATTGCTAGAAAGTAAACCAGGCTACCAAAGTGAAACTACAGGTACTCCTCGAGTTACGATGGGGTCACATTATGGCGAACCCATCGTAAGTCGCAAATATTATAAGTCGAATATGAATATGCTATGCTAAATGAGTACATAAATAACTACTATTACTGAATAAGTAAATAAACAAATAATTACTATAACTAAATTTTTTTTTACTTTATTAACATCAGTTTGAAAAGTAAATACAGTGGTACCTCGAGTTACGAACTTAATTCGTTCCAGATGGCTGTTCGAGTTCCAGTACTGAATGAATTTGTTCCCATAAGGAATAATGTAAATTAGATTAGTCCATTTCAGACCCCCAAAAATACACTTACAAAAGCACTTACAAAAATACACTTACATAATTGTTTGAGTTGGAAGCTGTTCAAAACTCAAGGTACCACTGTATATATTAATACAAGTTACAGATTTGCAGCCTTTATGCTGGGTAATTATCTTAAGTTTCATCTCCAGAGCAATTGCTTTTACACCATCATAAAGGCAAAATATCATACATCAAGGAACACGTGTATTTACTGTACAGATAGCATATTTTATACCAATCAACAAAAAGAGGATAAACAGAAATACAGTAAAACCTCTCATTAACAGATTTTCCCAATTTCAGATAACAAAAGTGGCTGGACAAACTCTCAGCCATCTATGTCTTCTCAGCCATCAGTCTTCTCAGCCATCTATGCCTTCTCAGCCATCTATGCCTTTTCAGCCATCTATGCTTTTTAACTCTTAATAGCCACTTTTCTTAAATCTAATAATAATATTCATGGAGATCCACTAAACCCTTAAGTGTGATATAGCACCTGGAGAATGGGACAGGGTGCAATGTGGTCAGGTTTGATCCAAAGAAGGGAAGGGAACTTCTAATTTCTTGGAGCAAGGGCCCTTCACCTGTATCAATGCTCCACCCTTGAAGTATTTTAACCAGACATGACCAGGACATACTTATAAAACTTCTTCCCTGAGGACTTCCTGATGCATCAGGCTAGTGTTATCAGTGGCATGCACTTTCCAAATAGTAACCAGCCTATTTCTATACTATTTCTACACTAATCCTACGTACCATATTTTCTGGCATGTAAAATGCACGAGTGTCAGCTGCTTGCTAGCATGATGTTTCCAAGCAGTTGTAACATAACGTTACTAAACAACTGTTAAAGCATAACCCAAGGCCTACCCATGACCCGGACTTTGAGCATATATGACACAGACTGATATTCCAAGACATTTTGGGGAGAAAAAACGCACCTTATATCCCAGAAAATACGGAAAAACAAGAGATAATTACCATTAAATATACGTATTACAAAATTTATTATAGAAAATTATCAGAATTTGCAGATAGTGCAAGGACTCCAGGATTAGTATCAAGCTCTCTTTAAAAACTAAGGAATACAAAACTACCTACAGCATTATAACTACCACGAATGAAAACTTCTGTGGCAAGAAGGCATTCTAGGGCATTATATATACAACACTGAGCAACCAAGAAAGCTACATTACCTGCTCTGAGAGCAACACAGACTACTACTTAACACCCACCACAACCATGTAAGTTAGAGTCATGCAAATGTACAAGAGCAAAACTCACCCTTCATAAGCTGCTGAACAGTGGCAATCTCCTCCTGGCACTTACGCTGCTCCACAGCAATGTCATTCTCAGCAGTGCACTGAGCAATGGTGACAGCACTGCGAGCTTCCTCTAGATCTCCCTGCAACTCTCTCACCTGAGCACGCAGTAATTCCACTTCAGTCTCTACAGCTGTGTTCTGCTCACTTTGTAACCTCAGCTCTTCTGCAATAACAAAAATAATTGGAATTAAATTCATCAAACATGCTTTACTGGACAAATAAATGGACATGAAGCAAAATCTAAATTTCAGTGTCTTTTTTAACACATCTGGTCCATGGCTTGGTTGGCAATGCACTTCTCCTGTGGGTTAAAAGTCTGAGCAAATGTTATCTTCCAGGTGACAAAAATACCTGTAACCAGTTTCAAAAGTTTACTGCTCTCGCAGCCCAGCCTGAAGTGACTTCTTTGTTGACTTCATGACAAACCATGGTATTACTTTCTGCAGAACTATATAGTTATCAAACCTGGTTGATCTGGCATTTCAGCCGAAACTGTCTGGTTTAATCTTAAAAACTTTTATCCTTCACTGAAGCACTTGCTCCATAACTTCCAGTGAACCACAGGACAACAAACTTAGTATTTTTAAACAACAATACCATCATACACAAATAACTTGCATATAGGAGAAAGAAGCTACAACGATGTTTCGGTCAGACTTGTACCATTGACTACCAACAATTCAGTTTTAATTAAAAAGTCAGACTCCCAAAAGGCTGCATGATTATGCTGTTTTTTGACTAGTCCTCTGCTCATCAGGCTGCTGAAAGCTGGCATCACATAATTATTGCATTATATTCTGATTGATGCTGCCCAGCACTAATTATGTGACATCAGCTTTCCACAGCCTGATGAGCAGAACACTAGGAAAAAAATATAATCATGCAGCCTTTACAGAATCTGACTTTTTAATTATAACTGAATTGTTGCTAGTCAATGGTCGAGGCTGGACCAAAACATCATCATAAGTTTCTTGTTCCAGTCACGGTATTGTGCTGTTTTGTTCTTTAACAATGCCATTAACTGATGAAAAAGGTTAATATTTACTTCAGTTGCTTGGATAAATATTTTGTAAATTCTCCAACATTAAGTGGGTTGAACAATGGAGACATTTATGTTTTGTGCCAACTGGGAAAAAAAGCTGGTTTCTTGATAACAAAAAAAAATTAACTAAAAACCTAACCTAGATTTTCAATTAAAATCCAGACATGGATGGAAATGTTGAGCATGTTACCTTACACCTGTTGTCACTGTTCACCTAGCAGTAAGTAGGTACCTGGGTGTTAGTCAACTGGTGTGGGTCGCATCCTAGGGGACAAGATTAAAGGACCCCAATGGAAATAAGACAGACAGTCCTCGATAACATACTGACTTTCTTAGGTTATTCTGGGTTAAAAATCCAAACAAATCTTATCTTACCTTAGCCACAACTCCCATCCTCCTACACAATACACACCTTCCTTCTGCAGGTAGAGTTCCTTTAGCTTGGCTCGACGGTAACCAAAATCTTCCTCAAGACGCATTTGCTCTTCCAGGAGTTTACGCTCGCGTTCTTCTAGTTCCTTCACATGAGATTGTAGCTCTGAAACACATGTTACTATTAGCACACAGTTATTATAAATTCAACAAATAGCATGTTTATTAAGATTAGTCTACCCAAAATGCACCACATGCTAATGGCTTTCTTTATTGCCTAAAAATATTTTACTACATGTAAACTGCAGAAAAGAAATAAATTATCTGTATTTGTAGTAAAATATATTATAGAAAATAATGAGCATTTTGAAAATTTACCTAAACAAAATGAAACTATCTTCAAATGTTAACACTGTATTATAAAGAACACAATATAGTAGTACGTATACTGAATATGAAGACACACAGCCAGGTCATATGGAACTCACACTTTGTCTCCTAACACCTGTTGCTCCTCTCACTTAGAAGAAAAGTGAATCCATGTAGTCAGTCAACATTGTGAGTTGCATACCAAGGGAGCACCTAAAAAATAGAACCTTAATGGACATAAGCTGACCTATTAGACTTTTTTGGGTACAGGCAAGCCCTGCTTATACAGCAGGTTAGGTTCCAGGTTACTGCTGTAAAGCAAAATTCACTGTCAGTGAAACATAGCATTTTTTCCACTTTCAAATGCATTTTAAAGCTTGAAAACATGTTTACACTATCACATCAAGTGAGCAATAGAGCTAAGCCTAGAAAATGCATATACAGTACACACATTACTTATCTTAAAAAATATTTTTGTCCTTAGCTTATAGCGAGTGGTAAATATATTTATTGCAGAAAGACTTAATGAATGAAGAATCGGTATAATTGAAAACCGCTGCATTAGCAAAATGATGTAAAGTGAAGCGCTGTAAAGCAGGGCCCACCTGTAACACTAACAGCAGATTGCTTCTCGGTAGATTTTGGCCATTAATAATTGTAGCTTGAGTTATACAAAATTAGGTTTATTTTACAGTCAAGATATTCTTCTTGTGTAAATGGTAAAAAACACAGCCTAACTTAACAAAACCCACTGAACCAAAACTTAAATATCCTAATATAACCTAACCTTAGTCTACCATTAGTACTGGAGTGTCATGTTTACATTTGCTCACATACTGCATAACCAAAATTAACTATTTCTGCTATCTTCCAAAATAAAAATTTTGACAAGAAATACTTATTCGGTGATGAACAACTGTTCTATGTACTGCAACACAAAATAAAGCCTGAGTTCCACTTAGTAAATAAACAAGTTTTAAAGTGGAATATGATATGATATACATTCAGGGTAACAGACATGTATAAACTACTTTACAGAAAGCCCTTATGTATGTAAGGCACTTCAGGCAGCCTTGAAACTAAATTACGATTACTAGTAGACAAGAATAAGAATATTTATTTTATATTATATTGGAGGTCAACTCTTGTAATATTACTTACAATATTCCAGAAGCCCAAAGTTTTTGAAAAGTCCATAAATTAACCACAACATTTTGCTCACAACCCAAAGGACCTGCTTTCAAATTCTGGGTGAGGCTAATGTCTGTTGCCCGTTAACCTGGCATTAAGTAGACAGATAATATAGCTGGCAGCTGTGAGGTGCATCCTAGTAAATAAGTTTATTTAGGAACAGGTACACATAAAAAAAACATCATACATAATGTATATTACCCATCAGGATAAAAAAAAAAGTCAGATAAAGTGACTTATTTTCTTGGGAGTCCTTAACGATCTCAGTGGAAATAAGCCACATTTGCTTATTCTCACACTGCTTGGCTTACCCACTGATGTTAACACAGAATATAGTGTTACCCACTGATGGTAACCCAGAGAATATAATGTTACCCACTGATGTTAACACTGAGAATGTTACCCACTGATGTTAACCCCAAGAATATAATGTTACCCACTGATGTTAACACTAAGAATACAGTATTATCCACTGACGTTAACACTGAGAATACAGTGTTGCTGGAAGAGTAGTGTGGGGGTCGAGGCTGCTCTCATCTGTGTGCTAAGTAAGTTTATTTAGGTACAGATACACAAGTACAATATCATACATAGTATAAATTACCCACCAGGATAACCCCTACAAAAAAGTTCAAAGTGACTTATTACCAATGGTAACCTCTGAATCGTTACACTGACTATCTAGCGCCAGTTACAAGGCATTCATTATTAATTAATGTAGTCAATGTCAAAATATTTTTCCAGGGGATGAGAAGTAAGTGTAGACAGAAAGAACAATATGCATGAATAATAAACATGAACACTAAACATGAACAATATACACGAACAATAAACATGAACAATATTCATGAACAATAAACATGAACAATATGCATGAATAATAAACATGAACAATAAACATGAACAATATTCATGAACAATAAACATGAACAATATTCACTATTAAGTAAATTTATTCAGATACATAAGCAAGTTTTTCTTCAGGTAGAGGTACATATAAATAGTTACATAAATTATCATACATAGCAGCATATGTGTAGATTATCCTCCAGAATAACCCAAAAAAAAATCAGACAAAATGACTTATTTCCATTGGGGTTCTTGTGATATTTAAACCTTAAAAGTTAAAACAGCTAATTAGCTCAACTGTGTGTGTGAACAGCAGTTACAACTGTGTGTGAACAGCAGATACAACTGTGTGTGAACAGCAGTTAGAATTGTGTGTGAAAAGCAGTTACAACTGTGTGAACAGCAGTTACAACTGTGTGAACAGTTAAAACTGTGTGAACAGCAGTTACAACTGTGAACAGCAGTTACAACTGTGTGAACAGCAGTTACAACTGTGTGAACAGCAGTTACAACTGTGTGAACAGCAGTTACAACTGTGTGAACAGCAGTTACAACTGTATGAACAGCAGTTACAACTGTGTGAACAGCAGTTACAACTGTGTGAACAGCAGTTACAACTGTGTGAACAGCAGTTACAACTGTGTGAACAGCAGTTAAAACTGTGTGAACAGCAGTTACAACTGTGTGAACAGCAGTTACAACTGTGTGAACAGCAGTTACAACTGTGTGAACAGCAGTTACAACTGTGTGAACAGCTGTTACAACTGTGTGAACAGCAGTTACAACTGTGTGAACAGCAGTTACAACTGTGTGAACAGCAGTTACAACTGTGTGAACAGCAGTTACAACTGTATGAACAGTAGTTACAACTGTGTGAACAGCAGTTACAACTGTATGAACAGCAGTTACAACTGTATGAACAGCAGTTACAACTGTGTGAACAGCAGTTACAACTGTGTGAACAGCAGTTACAACTGTGTGAACAGCAGTTACAACTGTATGAACAGCAGTTACAACTGTATGAACAGTAGTTACAACTGTGTGAACAGCAGTTACAACTGTGTGAACAGCAGTTACAACTGTATGAACAGCAGTTACAACTGTATGAACAGCAGTTAAAACTGTGTGAACAGCAGTTACAACTGTGTGAACAGCAGTTACAACTGTGTGAACAGCAGTTACAACTATATGAACAGCAGTTACAACTGTATGAACAGTAGTTAAAACTGTGTGAACAGCAGTTACAACTGTGTGAACAGCAGTTACAACTGTGTGAACAGCTGTTACAACTGTGTGAACAGCAGTTACAACTGTGTGAACAGCAGTTACAACTGTGTGAACAGCATTCCACCCACTTAGCACCCGCAGAACCAGCCACCCACACACGAGTGTCACTGATGACTGAATCACCTCAGACATGACTCCCATATATACCGGTCAGACATGACTCCCATATATACCGGTCAGACATGACTCGTATATACCAGATATAACATCCTGTTAGTGACAGAGGAGGAGTCCCTCAGTGTGTTAATACCCTTAGCAAGAGACACTCACCCTCAATACTGGGTTTCACGCCTCCATCCGAGGCCTCAGAGGCCTCCATGTTTCCTCTGATCTCCTTAACTACGCCTAAATCACCAAAAAACTGCCATTTTGGGCCGAGATTGTCATCTGGTCGCTGGAGAATCAGCTGCTCGTGGCCAACTGTTGTGGAACTCACTGCTGCAGCCTCACTCCTCACAACCGACCAATCATAACCCAGAGTCTCTGGAAGACTCGTGCTCATTGGCTGAGAATCCAGCACCACCTCCTCCACCAGCTGTATTGATTACTCACAACATTTCATATTGTTTACACATCAGGTCAAAGGTCATTCACAATCTATTAAGTAAATATTATTCGGCAACCTGACGTATAAACCTTCGCAAAAACAATAAACTAAATGTATTAAACCCATGGAGTTCCTCAAGCTGGGATAAAGTAGCTTTTACTTGTAGTAATAAAGTTAACAGCAGGCCTTCTCTCTCTCCCTATCTATCTGTCTGTCTCTAATTAAAATAATGAATGATACACATGTGCAACATTTGGGTATCTTTATTCTGGAAGCGTTTCGCCAGTCAGTGGCTTCTTCAGTCCAATGTAGAGAAAGGTGGAAGAGGAGGAGGAGGAGTTTGAGATAATCAGTCCCTCAGCCTGGAGTCAGTGTGTTCAGTCCACCAGTCTTGAGACTGTAAAGTAAAAGGACACAAGTGTAACTAATGTGACATTTTATTGTGGCAACGCTTCGCTCTGCAGGCTTGATAAAGCTCCTGGAGAGCGAAACGTTGCCACAGTAAAATGTCACATTAGTTGCACTTGTGTCCTTTTACTTTACATATTGTCGGTAATTCTACCAACATTATTACAGGCTTGTGACTGGTGAATACAGTATTAGTATTATTATTATTAGTAGTAGTAGTAGTAGTGTGGAAAAAGACACTTATGTACAGTTCAGGACATTTATTAGAGGAAACGTTTCGTCACGAGTGGCTTCTTCAGTCCTAATACAGTCCTAATACGTTTTCTTAGTTTTCTCTGTATTAGGACTGAAGAAGCCACTCGTGGCGAAACGTTTCCTCTAATAAATGTCCTGAACTGTACATAAGTGTCTTTTTCCACAACTTGTTGGTATCACCATACCATTTCCTCAGTAGTAGTAGTAGTAGTAGTAGTAGTAGTAGTAGTAGTAATAGTAGTAGTAGTAGTAATAATAGTAGTAGTAGTAAGTAGTTCAATAATAGCAGAAGTGGAAATAAAAAGGGATTACACCAATACATAAAGGTGGTGACCCTACAGACTTAAACAACTATAGGCCAATATCTAACTTACCATTGCTATCCAAAATCTTTGAGAAACTTGTGCACAGGAGACTGTATTCATTTATAACGGCTCAAAAAATACTCAACCCCTGCCAGTTTGGATTCAGGAAAAATAAAAGCACTAATGATGCAATCATAAAAATGCTAGATCTGCTTTACACAGCACTGGAAAATAAGGAATATCCACTAGGAATTTTTATTGACCTAAGAAAAGCTTTAGACACAGTAAACCACGAAATCCTACTCCACAAACTTGACCACTACGGTATAAGAGGCCATGCGCTTGCTTATTTCAAATCTTACATTACTAATTACCTGGAGTTTACCTGGAGAGAGTTTCGGGGGTCAACGCCCCCGCGGCCCGGTCTGTGACCAGGCCTCCTGGTGGATCAGCGCCTGATCAACCAGGCTGTTGCTGCTGGCTGCACGCAAACCAACGTACGAGCCACAGCCAGGCTGATCAGGAACTGACTTTAGGTGCTTGTCCAGTGCCAGCTTGAAGACTGCCAGGGGTCTGTTGGTAATCCCCCTTATGTGTGCTGGGAGGCAGTTGAACAGTCTCGGGCCCCTGACACTTATTGTATGGTCTCTTAACGTGCTAGTGACACCCCTGCTTTTCACTGGGGGGATGGTGCATCGTCTGCCAAGTCTTTTGCTTTCGTAGTGAGTGATTTTCGTGTGCAAGTTCGGTACTAGTCCCTCTAGGATTTTCCAGGTGTATATAATCATGTATCTCTCCCTCCTGCGTTCCAGGGAATACAGGTTTAGAAACCTCAAGCGCTCCCAGTAATTGAGGTGTTTTATCTCCGTTATGCGCGCCGTGAAAGTTCTCTGTACATTTTCTAGGTCGGCAATTTCACCTGCCTTGAAAGGTGCTGTTAGAGTGCAGCAATATTCCAGCCTAGATAGAACAAGTGACCTGAAGAGTGTCATCATGGGCTTGGCCTCCCTAGTTTTGAAGGTTCTCATTATCCATCCTGTCATTTTTCTAGCAGATGTGATTGATACAATGTTATGGTCCTTGAAGGTGAGATCCTCCGACATAATCATCCCAGGTCTTTGACGTTGGTGTTTCGCTCTATTTTGTGGCCAGAATTTGTTTTGTACTCTGATGAAGATTTAATTTCCTCATGTTTACCATATCTGAGTAATTGAAATTTCTCATCGTTGAACTTCATATTGTTTTCTGCAGCCCACTGAAAGATTTGGTTGATGTCCGCCTGGAGCCTTGCAGTGTCTGCAATGGAAGACACTGTCATGCAGATTCGGGTGTCATCTGCAAAGGAAGACACGGTGCTGTGGCTGACATCCTTGTCTATGTCGGATATGAGGATGAGGAACAAGATGGGAGCTAGTACTGTGCCTTGTGGAACAGAGCTTTTCACCGTAGCTGCCTCGGACTTTACTCTGTTGACGACTACTCTCTGTGTTCTGTTAGTGAGGAAATTATAGGTATCAGTACGTCACCATTAAAGACACAGCATCAGCAACACGGCCACTTGATACTGGAGTTCCGCAGGGAAGTGTCCTTGGTCCCTGCTCTTCCTCATATACATTCAATGACCTACCAAACGTATCCCAACACCTAAAACCCATTCTCTTTGCTGATGACACGACTTATGTCATCTCTCACCCTAATCTTGCCACCCTTAACACCATTGTGAATGAGGAGCTGATTAAAATATCGACTTGGATGACAGCCAACAAACTTACGCTTAACACTGACAAAACTTACTATATTATGTTTGGTAGCAGAGCAGGAGATGCACAAATTAACATTAAGATTGACAAACACTCTAATTACCAGAAATAATGGGGAAAATTCTTAGGCTTATACCTTGACAATAACCTGAATTTCAGCACCCATATCCAGCATATAGCCAAAAAAGTATCCAAAACGGTTGGGATCCTCTCCAAGATACGATACTACGTGCCGCAAAATGCCCTTCTCACACTATACCACTCGCTTATTTATCCATACCTCACCTATGCTATTTGTGCTTGGGGATCAACTGCAGCAACACACCTAAAGCCAATAATAACCCAACAAAAAGCTGCAGTAAGAATAATCACTAAATCCCATCCCTGGCAGCACACCCCCCCCCACTCTTCAAAGATCTAAACTTACTCCCAGTTCAGTACATCCACACTTACTACTGTGCAATCTATATCTACAGGGCCTTAAACTCTAATATCAACCTTGACCTTAACGCTTTCTTGATAGTTGTGACAGAACCCACAGGCATAACACCAGAAACAAACATCTCTACGACATTCCCCGTGTCCGACTAAACCTTTACAAAAATTCAATGTATGTCAAAGGCCCTAAAATCTGGAATACCCTACCTGAGAACTCTAGAAATGCAGACACATTCATCACCTTCAAAACTACCATTAGAAAACATCTTATCTCCCTGATACACCCCGTCAACTAACTTCACGAATACCACTGGTGGTTCACACTTACACTCGCACACTCATTTGACCATAAACAAAAATATTAATCTCAGTCTTAATATAATGAATCCTATGATACTCCAATACTGAAACTATATACTGTGCCAAAACAAAAGCATTCACACTGCTAAACTCACAAAATAGTATTTAGTCACTTAGCCATAATACCAACTTACCTCATAATTTGTAATATTTTACATTTAAGAATAAAACTAAGTATGCCCGAAATGCCTAGCCATGCTAAGCGTTCTAGTGGTACACTCTGTAATCTCAATTTTACTACATGTTAAACCAAACAATAACCAAATTTCTGTAAACTCAGCATTGTAATCCTTATAGAGAATAAACTTTGAATTGAATTGAAAAAAAGTAGTGACACAAAAGTCAGAGCCGGGTGTTTGCGAGGCATTAGTAGTAAGTGGCACTAATAGTAGCACTAGTAGCACCCAGGGCAACATGGGTTTAGAACAGGTCGCTCCTGTCTGTCTCAACTATTGGATCACTACGACAAGGTCCTAAATGCACTAGAAGACAAAAAGAATGCAGATGTAATACATACAGACTTTGCAAAAGCCTTCGACAAGTGTGACCATGGCGTAATAGCGCACAAAATGCGTGCTAAAGGAATAACAGGAAAAGTCGGTCGATGGATCTATAATTTCCTCACTAACAGAACACAGAGAGTAGTCGTCAACAGAGTAAAGTCCGAGGCAGCTACGGTGAAAAGCTCTGTTCCACAAGGCACAGTACTCGCTCCCATCTTGTTCCTCATCCTCATATCCGACATAGAACATTAAAATGGTATAAAATACCAACAGATTGTTAGGTACCTAATATCCGACATAGACAAGGATGTCAGTCACAGCACCGTGTCTTCCTTTGCAGATGACACCCGAATCTACATGAGTGTCTTCCATTGCAGACACTGCAAGGCTCCAGGCGGACATCAACCAAATCTTTCAGTGGGCTGCAGAAAACAATATGAAGTTCAACGATGAGAAATTTCAATTACTCCGATATGGTAAACGTGAAGAAATTAAAACTTCATCAGAGTATAAAGCAAATTCCAATCACACAAAAGAGCGAAAAACTAACATTAAAGACCTGGGAGTGATCATGTCGGAGGATCTCACCTTCAAGGACCATAACATTGTATCAATCGCATCTGCTAGAAAAATGATGGGATGGATAATGAGAACCTTCAAAACTAGGGATGCCAAGCCCATGATGACACTCTTCAGGTCGCTTGTTCTATCTAGGCTGGAATATTGCTGCACACTAACAGCACCTTTCAAGGCAAGTTAAATTGCTGACCTAGAAAATGTACAGAGAACCTTCACGGCGCGCATAACGGAGATAAAACACCTCAGTTACTAGGAGCGCT